GGAGCGGGGGGCGGCAGCAGCAGCATCGCTGCCTCCTCCGAGCTGCCGCCCGTCTTGCACCCTCCCTCGCCCGGCGGGGCTGCTTCGGGGAGCAAGTGGGGGGTCCCGCCCTGCAGCTCCTCTCCTTGCAGGAAGCTCATGGCTGGATGCAAAGGGGAGAGGTCAAATCCTGCCCAGCTGCTGGGGGGGGCTGCGGTGACTTGCACCAGCGGAGCATCCAGGTTTTGGCTCAGGGCTAGTTGTTGATGGCGGCTTTGCCATCACCATCAGCCTGAGCGGGGCCGGGTGCCACGGACGGTGCACGGTCCGTATCTGCGGTGCCACTTGCGAGACGGAGCAGCGACGTTTCTAGCCGCAGAGTGATACGTCTCAGTAAATAACTAGGAATCTTTCCCTTATTATTACAATGATTTAAAGACTACTTTTTTGGTTTTTTAAGGCAGTAGCTATAAAAAAAATCCAGCTCGTGTTGACTCGGGGTCTGATAAGCTCGGAGGATTTTTATAAGGTGAAAAACGATCCAGATTCTGGAATTACCTTCTTTATTTCTGACCCCCCTCGCTCGGGGCCGTGGGTGCCCAGTTGGACCGGGGCAGGGGGGGGCCCGGGTATCTGTTGGCACCGGTCAAACCCAGCCTGGCTTTTTGGGGCTCGGTTGCAGAGGGGTGAGGGCTCCCCTGCGTGGCCGCGCAGGGCCATGGCCCCGGGCTGGCTCCGTCCCTCCCCGCCCCGGGCTGGGTGCTGGGCAGGGGCACAGCTCCATCCGTCAGCCCAGCCACAGGCATCTCCCTGTTTGCAGCTGGTGGGGAAAGAAAAAAAAAACCAACCCCAAAAACCCAAATCCTATTTTTTTTTCCTCCCTTTTATTTTCTTTTTTCTTCATTTTCCCTGCGGGCGGTGAATAATAACGGGGAGAAAATGAAACTAGAAACACTGGAAACCCCGGGTGCCAACCTTTAAATGACATTGGGATACAACACTCTGGGCCCGCCTGAAACGTTTGAAACTTGCTTTGCTATTCTAGGGGAGCCTGGCAGGTATTTCAGATCACAGGCTTTGCTATTTTGTGTTTTTAAAAAAAAAAAAAAATTACGTATGAGAGAGTTTACAAAATCAGGTGAATAGAAACATTTCATAAATGTCAACATCCCTTTCAGCGTGGCAAAGCCTGCAGCAAAACGCCATTGTACTCACGCACAGGAATTGGAAAGCGAGCGCAGTATTAATTTTAATCATATGTATATATAACAGAGCAGAAAAAAACCAGGCAAATAATTGTAGCAACACCCAACAGACTGCTCTCAAATCTGCAGAGAAGTCCGAGGTGGCAGCTAGCTAATTTAAAACCCAGATGGGAGAACGCGTTAAACGGGCACGTTAACAATAAAGAGCGGAATGGGAATCGGGACGAGATGGCTGACGGAGCGCGTCGGCTGCTGGGCTTTGGGTCTGCATTTGGGGTAAATCCTGCCCCAGGGTGGGGTAAATCCGGCAGGAGAGGGATGGCACGGCCAGGTTTCTTGTCCCTCTGTGCATTGATGCTCTGAGACGCGCGATTCGGCCGGGGCCGTGCCCCCTCTGCCTGATATTGAACATTTAGAAAGTTAGGAACGTTTAGAAAAACAACGATATAATGGTTCAAAGGGGGTCACCCCGTCGCCCCTCCCTGTTTCTCACTAATAGCCACGTTGCTTTTGGATGTGCTTTTCTGCACGGAGCTCAGAGGGCGCATACCAGCCGGGAACGCGTGTTTTTACGCAGACAGATTATAAACCCCAGAAAATAAGGGATTACAAACCCTCTCTTGCCCGTAAGCAGTTAAACGTATGCATGCCAGCTGTATCGCAATTAAGCCCCGTCTACTCCGGTGCCTTGCAGCTCATAAGCTGCAGCGTGGGGTTAAATACCGCAGCGGAGCTGGAGCAGAAACATGCCTCTTTCAGGTCTAAATAAAAGTATATAAAAGCTTGGATTTAAGCTTGTCGGAGCTGGAGGAAACATGCCTCTTTCAGGTCTAAATAAAAGTATATAAAAGCTTGGATTTAAGCTTGTCCAGTTCTGCTGTGGGGGGGGGGGGGGGAAGGGAAAAGGCTGGAGCTGAGTGTTAACGTGTCGGTGGCTGCCTGACACAAGCAGATTTGCAGCTGCCCAGAATAAATCCGACTTTGGAATAAATAAATAGCAGCCAGCGCAGATGTAGGTACCCACAAAGCCG